GGCTGTCATAACAAAAGATCACAAACTGGGTGGCTTAAACAAATTTATTTTCTCATAGTTTTGGAGCCTAGAAGTCCAAGATCAGGATGCTGGCAGGATTGGTTTCGTCTGAGACCCCTCTCCTTGGCTTGCAGATGGCCACCATCTTGCTCTCTCTTCCACAAAGCACAATTAAAAGAAAGTGAATAGGGTGGAGCTTTTGAAACTTTAATTTGCCTTTACTCATGTAGAGGAGTAAAATTTCTTTTTCCTTCTACACTCCTAGGTCTCTGGCTAGGAGAGCACTTGATGGAAAAAACTAATGACTTTTTGGAAAGATAGATAAATGGGCCCCCAGGAGAACTGATGCGAGAAATGATAGTTTGTGGCAGTGTCTAGGTGTGGTGCCAGTTTTTGTTTTTGTTTTTGTCTCTCGGTTAGAGAAGATTAGAGTTGCTCCAGGGGAGGGGATTGAAAAGTTCTTTTAGGAGACTCTGCTTTTAGGTAAGTAAGGGATTTCAGGAACTCAGATGCCTTCAGCTCAAAATTATCCTTATGTCAAAGTGGTGTATTTTGGGGTGGCATATCCTTATCCCTTCATACACTTGTGTAAATGCCAAAATATTAACTAGTATTGCTGTTTATCTTTTTTCAGAACATGAAAACTTCTGTCATTAGGTATTCATACTTTAAGAACTAAAATTAAAATTCATACAGACATTATAGAAATGAATAGATAATATTAGTTTGTCTCCCAGGGATAGTTTTTAGTATATAACTTCTCACTTAGCCATTGTTTTGGATGAGACCCCATTTAAAATAATAAGCTTTAAGTTATTGGTTATTTTATTTAGGTCCTCTGTGGTTTCTTGTGAAATGTTATTTTGTATATAAAATAATAAGCTATAAAAGCAATTTTTCTTTCCCATTGAGTTATTGGAACTATAATTTTAAGAGTTTATAGGAAAAAGTTGTTGGGAAAGTAACATCTTATCACAAAACAGTTCACTATTTAGCTTCAGGTCAAAATAGATAATAAAAATACTTTATACTTGGAAAACTATTAGAAATAACCAACAACTACAGCAAAGTTGCAGGGTACAAAAATCAGTTGCATTTCTGTATGCTAATAATGAACTAACAGAGAGCTCAAAAAGATAATACCATTTACAATTGCATCAAAAAGAATAAAATACCTAGGAATAAGTCTTACCAAGGAGGTAAATGACCTATACAATGAGAACTACAAGACATTATTGAAAGAAATCGATGATGACATAAAGAAATGGAAAGATATCCCATGCACGTGGATTGGAAGAATAAACATAGTTAAAATGTCTATATTACCTAAAACAATCTACAGATTCAGCGCAATCCCAATCAGAATCCCAATGACATTCTTCACGGAAATAGAAAAAAGAATACTAAAATTTATATGGAGCAACAAAAGACCCCAAATAGCTAAAGCAATCCTAAGAAAAAAGAACAAAGCAGGAGGCGTCACAATCCCTGACTTCAAAACATACTACAAAGCAATAGTAATCAAAACAGCATGGTACTGGTACAAAAACAGACAACACAGATCAATGGAACAGAATTGAAAGCCCAGAAATAAAACCAAACAGATACGGACAGCTAATTTTTGACAAAGGAGCCAAGAACATAACAGTGGAAAAAGGAAAGTCTCTTTCAATAAATGGTGTTGGGGGCCGGCCCCGTGGCTTAGCGGTTAAGTGCGTGCGCTCTGCTGCTGGCGGCCTGGGTTCGGATCCCGGGTGCGCACCGATGCACCGCTTCTCCGGCCATGCTGAGGCCGCGTCCCACATACGGCAACTAGAGGATGTGAAACTATGACATACAACTATCTACTGGGGTTTTGGGGAAAAAGAAATAAATAAACAAACATTTAAAAAAAAAAATGTGTTGGGAAAACTGGATGGCCACATGCAAAAGAATGAAAGTAGACCATCTGCTATCGCCATACACAAAAATTAACTCAAAATGGATCAAAGACCTGAAGGTGAGACCTGAAACTATAAAACTCATAGAAGAAAATATAGGCAACACACTATTTGACATT